TTGGTTTCTAAATTGTATTTGAAACTGCGTATGCATTTGTTATGGCTTTTTAGTTCGGTCTGTAACTCATTGATCAAATCGGTTTTTAAAGTGGTTCCCATGTTTGATCGCAAAGAAATGAAAAATATCTGTACAATTTCGAAGTTTGACCTATTGTAGGAAGAAGACTACCAATTAAATGATAAATATGGCCCTCTATCTTAAAAGTAGGCATCAAGTTTCCTTCGTGAATTTCTTTGGCACTTAATGATTTCATTTGAAATAGTGTATTATATTTAAGTACTTAATATATTGTTTAAAAAATGAGTAGAATACGGATGATTACTTGTCAAGAAACTATTTAAAGATTGTGGTGGCTCTTCACTATCAGGGAAAATCACTTTACCTGCAGCACAACCCATACCATTTGGTTCATCGCTCCATTTTTTTGCAAAACAATTAGGACAGGTTTTACTCATTGCTCCCATTGTTACTGCTCTCTGCTTAGCATGATTATGCTAAAATATTGGGATCATAATTGAAAACTGATCTATAACTGTGAGGGGCACTTCGATTGCGTATTCTAGATGTTTGTTGTCCCTGTGCAGTAGTGGTAAGGCTCTGCGAACGTTTGGTGGTAGACTCCGTATCATCTTTTCGACATATTCTGCCTATGATTAGCCAGTCACTGAGACCTTTCGGGATCTAGACGCTCTTTATATAATAGTATAAATTATATTGAATTGAGGCACAATATATACATTTAAATATATATGTATTTTGATAATATGATTGAATTAAAAATAGTAAATATAAAAAAGCGGGTAAAAGGATTCCATTGCTGTAAAGTAGGTTACAAGTGGATCACTGTAATAGATAGTATTAAATTTAAATTCAATAATACAATATCATTGTTTACTGTAAACGCGTCTGAACAGAGATGGTTTGTCAGAATAGAATATTTTTATTATATTTATATTGTTAATATTAATACGGTGCGCGATAACTTGAATTAATATTATTTGCATATTATTATATTTCAATATCTGTTAATAATAATATACATGACAAATTTCAAGTACCCTCGAATAATATTTTTGAATTGCATCAAAATATCTAAAATTGTTATTCTTGGATACTTAATAATATTATGTAGTCCTACAGTACCACAGGCTAATGACCTATGTTGTCGAAGCCTCAACCCTAAAAAAAAAAAATATTATGTAATTTCATCCAAATTTGACCATAAAATAACTAAAAAAAAAATTGGTTATAAATAATTTTGGTTGGATTTTTATATCCATTATGGAAAATTAAGTGTTGTATAATTAAGACACTGAGATATGTGAATAATATAATATATCTTTTTATAGAATATCAACCTATCCTCGACAATTTATGTAAGTATACATAACTAGTTGTTTATAGTGTTATTTATAGTGTTATATTTAAAGATTTTATAATGCATGGGGTACGGTTATTGGGTAACAGTTGTAACTATCCAGCCCACCTTAGGCCCGTTTCACATGAACGCGTATCATACGCGACGTATCGTACGCGAGGGTTTTCCATTTACATTGATTAAGTTCATACGCGCCAAACCGGCGAGGGAAACGCGCCATCGTCGGAGTATGAATTTGACCAATGTAAATTAAAACGCGCGCGTACGATACGTCGCGTATGATACGCGTCCATGTGAAACGGGCCTTAGTCACCAAGTTAAAGGTGTAGCCTGAATGTCTAGAAATATCCCAGTCAAGTAAATGATCCATTCTGAAAAACTGAGAGGAAAAAGACCCATTGAGGAGGTCTGTCCAATATATCATACACTATATCATCAGAGTATGTTATTAAATTAATCTGTTTGTTTTTAAATTTTAAATTTGATTCTTTTGTCAGTATCAATCAGTGCTTAACCTGCACTCGTTCTAACGCAATATTGAGAATCATAGGAGATACCACGTCTCCCTGTCTTAAACCCCATTCTCCCACAAACTGCTTTCGATTACATTGAATTAAATTTTGCATTTTTAGTTGTTTATATTATAGATAACTCTTATGTCTTAAATTTCTGCCAATATTATTATGGAACGGTAAGCTTGTTTTTAGTATAAGTATAGCAAGACGAGATCCTGATTATACTCATAACTGTTTTTTCATTATTTATGTGGATCTGGTCTGCTTTCGACCTTCTTAATCAGAAACTTGCTTAATACCTACTACCCGTCTATTTAGTAATTGTGTCTTTATGTACTCAATTTTGTGTGTCTGCTTGTTTAGTTTCTTAATATCAAATTTCTTGGTTATAATTGTAATAGTTGTCCAATTAACTGTATTAACAATATTATATTGAAATTCTGGATCAGGGAAGAGGCAACTAATTATTTACTATGATCGATGATAACTCTTGCCTGTGTGGCGAATTTATTCATACTCCCCTCTCTTGTCTCCATGGTCTTGGCAGTTGACAACATTCCACTGATACAATGTACTGGAATATCGGTCGATTGATTTGAAAATTTCCACAACAGTGATCTCTCTTTCTCTTACTGTCACTGTCTCCGTCACCCCTCTTCGATTTCGTGCGTTTGCGTCCGATTGTTATAATAAGCCTTTGTCACATTATATTATAAACTTAAAGACAAAATGAAAGAAACTGGAATAATACCCTAGTTAGTTATTATTGACTATGGTCTATAACTATCATATTACTTATAAGTTATAATTTTTTTTTTTTTTTTTAATATGTAGATATAAAATGTATCACTAATAAAATAACAATGAATACTTAATTGAAACAAATTCAAATAATTTCAGTACCAACATGCAGTGTTCTCTTCAACTTTAATGAAAATATAGTAACAAATAAAAAACGTAATTACTTATTAGTTATTAAATGATATACAAAACATAAATCTTACATGGAATATAGAATAAATTATGATAAATTATAATATGCTCTTAAACTATGAACAGTAGAATAAAGGTCAACTGGAGCATTTTTTAGTGGACAATGGTTTTTTTGATAGCAACCACTTCAATTATCTATGTTATATAATTTTATACCTCTGACATCTGGTTATAATATTACCACGAATTAAGATAGATTCTATCATAGTTCATAAATAGGTATTACATACAACTAGGGTTCTGAATTTTAAATATTTCACTTGACATTTTTCAATTGAAATATTTCAATATTGAAAATTTCACTCTTCTTAAAATATTTCAATGAAATTATGAAAAATATTTAAAGGGCTCTGGACTCCTTATTTAATACTTGTATCATATTTAGTATTTTGTAAATATGTCTAGACATTGTATAGGTACACGTTCCAAGTTGGAACATTGTTCGACACACACAAAAATGTATTTTTGATATAAATGATCACAAAACCTACATAAACATATTTTTCATTTACGATTTGGAAGTATAAGATCCAATGAGGATTATAGATAATAATTATATAACACCCTCGAATATACATCAAAATCTATGTTATATAATATGCATTTATAACTTTGGTATTATGAATACTGTTGCCAATACATAATATTTAACAGTCAAGATATTCATTACTCTAGTAACTAGAGTCTAGTTAAACTTTGTGATTATGATGATTCACCTGGAAATTATTATGGGAATAACTTGAGTTATCTGTCAATAAGATCTTTGATAAAAAATTTGGATAATTTTCCAATCTAACAATTAAATGGGCAACAAATTCAAAACAACTTTGTAGGTACACGCTAAGCCATAATACCATGTGTCATGAAATTTACTTTGATTAACTATACACTAAACATGTATTTGTACATGTTATTCTAATTGATCCATTATTTAAAATTTAAACAACAATTTTAATCTAATACTTTTTGTGAATACTTGATATAACTCTCACTGACATGATATGAGGAAAACAAATAGAAACAATTCTTTTTATTCTTTGATTATTACTTTTAATATATTCTATATAAAAATATTATTAAAAAATATGCTGGTACCATTTATTATAATTAATATATTTGTAAAAAATTATATATACAAAATTAAAGGTCTAAGCACGCATTTATATACCTAATATACTTTTAGTGGCCCATCCGGTTCATATGTTCTATGATAATAATATCTATGACATTAATGAAAATAATATATTACCATTATCTTAGTTCATGTTAATATTTTGATTTAATTTGTGATAACTTATCACTGATAAGTGATTATCATAATATTATTGTAAAAATATAGGTACATTTTAAAGGGGTTTGGTAAGTTCCCACACGAAACATAGCAGGTAAGCGAGTACATATGTAAGTTCCCTCACGAAAAATAATACGCCCGTACGTAAGTTCCCACACGAAAAAAAATACGCCTGTACGTAAGTTCCCACACGGAAAAAATTACACCTGTACGTAAGACTTAGGAATGACAACTTAAACGAAATTGGTGTGGTTAAAATTTGTTTTGTTTTTGTATTGGATAAAAATAATCCAATTCAATTTTTTAGGTATAAAATAATAATAATAATAGAAATTAGAAAAAAAATCAAATTTTATTTGGTTTATTGCGAAAGCTCAAACACTTCACTTCTTCTTCTCCACTTTTCTTCTTCCACACATTATTTGTATAGGTATAAAATAAATAATAATAATAGAAAAAATCACATTTTGTTTGATCTAATAACACTTTACAGTATAGTCATACTGTGTTTATAAAAATATACCAATATGTATTTTCCCACGTGGCGATAAAATTTAATGCATTACATTCTATCTACAATTTTATTATCTTTATTATCTGTTGGCTATAAAAATATTAAATAGTATGGACAGTCCATTTTATTGATTTCAGTACTCGTTCATTATTAATAGAGTTAACATTTAAACAGTTTTTATTACAATTTATAAAAATGGACCTAATTATTGATTACATGTTGAGTGAAAAGGGGAAAATTCTTTTAGTCCATAATAATTATAAATTTTATAAGAAACATACCGCTAAAACAAATATATGTACGTGGATGTGTGTAAATAATAAGTGCCGTGCTAAATGTTACACCAATGAAAGTGAAAAATTAGTTGAAAATAAAAATACGTGTTTTGTACATACCCATGAGGAAGAAACTACTTTAAATCGGCAAAAAATAAATAATTCTTGTAAAAGAAAAGCAGTAGACAGCGTTGTTGAAAAACCTTCAAAAATTATCAGACGAGAACTTACACAACATGAAAATGAAGGTAATTTGTTAATGTCTGATATTAAACTTATTTCCAGAAATGTACAAAATGCTAGAGCCAGTTGTTATCCTAAAATACCAAAGTCAAAAAAAGAAGTTCATAATACTTTGAGTTCAATTAATGTAGAAACAAATAGAGGTGAAGATTTTATTTTTGATAATGACAGTTTAAATGAGATAATAATATTTTCATGTGATACTAATATTGAATTTTTGAAAAAACTGGAAATAGTTTACATGGATGGCACTTTTAATTATTGTGATAAACATTTTACTCAACTATATACAGTTCATGGTTTAAAAAATAGTATTTATATTCCATTAATGTTTTGCTTTTTACCGGATAAAACATTGAAAACATATATTGAATTATTAAAAAAAATGAATGCAGTTGGAATAAACCCAAATAAATTTGTCTTAGACTTTGAGATATCAATGCACCAAGCAATAAATATTATATTTCCTACAGCACAAATATGGGGATGCTGTTTCCATTTGTGCCAAGCTTGGAACCGGACAATTCAAAGCTTAGGGTTTGCACAAGACTTTAATTTTGCAAATGATGAATTAGGAAAGTGGCTGGTACATTTATTTGGTTTACCATTTCTTAATCCAATAGAAGTTGGAGATTGTTTTGTAGATAGTTTCATGGCTGAAAAACCAGAAAATAATAAAATAAATGAATTTTGCGATTATTTAGTAACTCATTACATCGAAGATACCAGTACGTTCCCCCCTAGTATTTGGGCTAGTGCTAGTTTTGATACAAGCCTTACTACAAACGCTTGCGAAAGTTTCCATTCTGAATTCAATTCAAATTTTTATCATCATCATCCTAATATATTCAAAATAATAGAAGTTTTAAAAATGTTTCAAACAAATACATATATAAAGATAAGAACATCTGAATTAAATAGACCTCAAAAAAAAAGTAAAAAAACAGAAGAAAAACAAAACTATATAAATAATAAAATTTCAGATTATAACTTACAAAAAATTACACAGTATGACTATGTGAAGTGTTTGAGCTATCGCAATAAACCTAATAAAATTTGATTTTTTCTATTATCATTTTTATTTTATACATATACAAATATTATACACATTATATTTTTAATTTTTATTATATATTATACGGACTAGATTCAATTCAAAATTGAATTGGACTTTTTTTTATGCAATACAAAAACAAAACAAATTTTAACCACACCAACTACGTTTAAGTTGTCAGTCCTAAGTCTGAATAAAGTGGGAAGGAAGTTTGTGTTTGGCAAGGCTGAGCATTAACTAATTAAAAGTTAAAATTATAAGCAATTTATATAAACATTATTATGTGTATGAAATTTTTTATTTTGAAAATAAGAAAATTTTAACTTTAAATTAAGTTAAGTTACTTTTCTTCGTTATTTTTTTTCGTGTGGGAATTTACGTACAAGTGTAATTTTTTTCGTGTGGGAACTTACGTATGGATATCCAGGGGTAATTTTTACCTGCTATATCTCGTGTGGGAACTTACATTCGCCCATTTTAAAATCCTTAAAGTTACAACAAATATCGAAAAAATACTATCTAGGGGCTGTTGCTCTAGATCAGGGGTCTCCAAACTACGGCCCGCTGGCCGGTTGCGGCCCGCGAACAAGTTTTAACCTGCCCGTGGCCCGCATAGGACGCATAGCCGCATAGGTAAATATAGATAAAAAAATTATTTCAAAAATGTATTTATATTATATTATATTTATACCTATTTATTTTTATTTAAGTATATTGTAAAGTAAACAATATTCTATACAAAAATATAAAGTAAATATATTATTTATATAGGTACCTATATTATCATAAAGTTAAAAATTATATGTTTTAATAAACTTTTGGCCGCTAAGAGCATTTGATTTTTTTTGTGGCCCTTGAATAAAAAAGTTTGGAGATCCCTGCTCTAGATAATTATAATAATTTGTAAGCAATAATAGCCTAAATATGTATCTAAATAAATCAAATGAACAATTTCGGTTAGAATTTCTATCCATTAGGAAAAATTAAGTGTTATACTTCATTGCATTAAGCTAAAATAATAATTAAAATGTTTTTATTTATTATTATATTGTATTTCCGTACACAAATATGTTACGGGTTGCTTAGAATGAAATATAAAATATGTAAAAACTGAATTCTATGAATTAAATATTGTCTAATTGTCTAATTATCTTTTTATAGCGGCTAACTATATATTTACTCTTGACATAGTCTGTAAGTATACATTCATAGTTGTTTATAAATTATAATATTATATTTAAAAAAAAAAACAGGTGGAGTTTAAAACTGGGTCACTGTATAATGGATTGTATTACATTTGAATTCAATGATATCATATCATTGTATACGAAAAACGATTCTGAGCGGAGACGGTTTGTCAGTCTAGATATTAGATTCTGAGCGGAGCTATAGCTAGGGATCTAGTGGTTTTACAATTTGGTTTATTTTTTATTTTATTTTTTTTATCCTGTATACAAAATTTCTACCAAAGCAGTACTTCGATTTTAACATAGAGTATCTTATCTTTTAGAAAATTTAATCAAGATGGTACTTTAGAGAGGTAATTTTTCGATTTTCTCAATAAATATTTAATGACACGTGAAAAACTAGCGACTCTTACTCCACTCAGAATCTAAAATGTATAATGAATGGGGTACACTTATCGGGTGTGGTAATCCCGCTCCTTCAGTTACTGAGGTAAAGATGTAGCCTGAAGATCTAGAAACACCTCAGACAAGTAAGTGACCCAGTCATTGAAGTACCTTCACCAAAAAGGATTTTCAATGGATCAACTATCCATTACTATATAACACTATTTTGTTAAGAAACTTCAAAATATTCCTCTTACATCGTACATAAGGAGTCCCAGCATAGAAATGGAAATAGGAAAATAATCATGAGATTACATACTCTTGTGTTAATAGTACAAGTACTACAATCCTGATACGATCCTGATATACCTATATATCATGCTGCATTCCACCTTGGGCCTAGGCGTTAGGGAGTTCCGGGGCGATGTTATACCCGTTACTTTATAAATAATACTTAGTTATATTACATTTGTAAATATCATTATAAACATTTTTAAAAATCTACATCAGGGACGAGGGAACTAACAATTCACTATGAAATAATACATTGTATTCTTGTTGTATTTCATAGAAGGTAGTGTGTATACGATCACTCGTATTAAAAATCGTAAAAAGAGAATAGATCCTTTGGAAATCTGGTGGTTGTAAAGAAGTTCAAATGCAAAGTATTTCATATAATCATATTACGCAATGTGATTTAGACAGTTATATTATTAGGTGATTATATACCATCCTAATAATATTACAAGCACCACTACAACCCTTTCACATCCCTTCATGTTGTTTTATTATATACTCATTTAAAATAAAATGTGTTATAATAAGCCTATGTCGCAGTATATTATAATATCTAATGTTATATGGTATATTTGTACCTAACTCAAATAATGAAGAAAATGGAAGTTAGTTATTATTGACTATAACTATCATATTATTTACAATATTGTTTTTTTATCAATTCCTTCTTTAAATTGTAAAGTGCTTATATTAATGTAAATTTTTTATTTTAGCAATAAGGATGTAAAATGTATAACTAATAAATTAACAATGAATATTTAATTGAACCTAAGTCAAATAATTTCAGTTCCAACATGCAAATTTCTACTCAGGTATCAAAACACAGACCAGAAAGATTATGAAGGTAATTAGGTATTAAACTGTTCTCCAAACATAAAACTCACACGTAGTATAGAATATAGGTTTATAGGCGATAATAAAAATGATTAGATTACCAATACCTTGGGTACTAATCGCACTAATGTTGCCAGCCACTCGTTCGATGTCAAGGAACGAGTTTTTTTGGTTTAAGTATATTTCCAAACAAAGTTTATTGTCGTTATAATTTCTGGCTTATTAATTTAGATTCACTATAGGTACTGCTTTGTGGACACGGGAATGTTTTTTGGTATTTTAATTATGTACATCTTAAATATGAATACTTTTCAAATGAGGAGGGTATGAATAATATTGAAAAATTCTATAAAAATGTATTTTGGTATTTCCAATAATATGGTTTGAGAGTAAATAATATCAATAATATTTATTAAATAATAACTATTATAATTAATATTATCAATATTGTAGAAGAGAAGTTAATCTATGTCTGTATAAAAGTACATTTTTGATATCTTAATTACTAAACTCAATAATTCAAATTGAAAAAGTAAATTATCACAAGTTTTAGAGTTAAATATTGGACATTCAAAATAAAATATCGAAAATCCACTCCTATACAAGCCTAGATAAACGTTTTCTCTTAAATTTGTATAAAAAGTGTTCATACTGCAATGTCATTCAGTAAGATATATTATTAGAAATACGAAACTAATTTTCCGTTTTTCACTAAAATTCACATTTGTAATTAGTATGTAAAATGCTGCGTTACTGACATATGCGTGTACGTGTGGGTGTGCTCCGCCATTTATTTTATACACAATCACTCACACTAATGATATTTTATTACAAGCAACTTATTACAAGCACTGATGTTCATAATATTTATTGATTTTAGTATTTAGTGCAGCATAGGATACTGGACATAACTATTTCAAAATATATCAATGTTTTTGAAAATATTTTATTACATAGTTTCAAGTTGTTATACAACAATCTTTTTTTTTAAATCATATTTTTAACTATTTTTTATAATTTTATAAATATACATTATATATTTATATATTATTATAGATGTTGATTTAATTAAAGTTGATTATAATGAAATATAAAATCAGTAAAAAATGATGTTTATGAATGATATAATGTATCTTTTTATAGGATCTAAATATACTATAGAAGATTTTTGTAAGCACACATTAATAGTTATTTAAAATATTATATTAAAAAAATGTCTAATGTATGAGGTATCTTTATCGGGTAAGGGTAACGGATGTGACAATCTCGCTTACTTCAGTCACCGAGGTAAATGTTTGGAAGGAACGAGTTCCAAAAGGAACGGATTCCTGGAACGAATTCCTGGAACGAATTCCTTTTAAAAAAACGGCACGATAACGAATTTATTTTTATAAAAAAATAAAGAGAAAATTAGCGAGTTCTTTTTTACAAGGAAAAATAACAAAATTGTTCGTTCTTTTCAAGTTCCAATAATTTACACAGAAAATTATGTAAATAATTGAAATCAAGATATATTTTTTTTAATGTGTATAATATATATTGCTAATTAGTGATCGTTATCAAGTATCGACGTTAAGATAATCGCCATACGTTGGCCAACAATTTAATTTTGAAGAAAATGTCAAAATAGAATTATAAAACATTTAAACATGTACCTAGGTACTATAGCTACTTGTACCTATATATTAGAATCAAAAATTGAAGAAGTATGCATATGAAAAAAAAAAACATAAATGATTAAATAAGAATTTTTATTTTATTTGGAATTAAAAAAGGAACTCGTTCGTTTTCCAAAGGAACGACAAAGAAACGAATTCTTTTTTTTTTGTTCTAAGGAACAAGGAACGAAACGAATTCCTTTTTTTAAAAAAAATAACAAGGAAGGGAACGAATTCTTTTATATAAGGAACTTGCCAAGCACTGGGTAAATGTGTCTAACTTTAGTCAGGTCTATATGGGTAAGGCAATGCCTGATAGCTGATTGGCGCTAGGTTTGCGACGTCGGTAGTCTTTATGTAAGTCCGTAGATTCATTGTTGGTCTAGTCAGAGCACTGATAGCTCGCTCCCACGGCAAGCTGTTCAATCTTAATAACTGACATCTGCTCTCTCTCATCGTCGGCCGCTGTTCAATTGTCGGTCGGTTCGCTAGATCGCTGGTTCGGAATCTGGTAGAGTTCTTATGTTTGTCTGAAGTATCATGTTCCCGTTCCAAACGAGAATCTGTGCAGGACATAATGATGGCCGTTTTATCAGACTTGGGTAGTATTCCGAATACTTTTTAAATACTTTTTTTTGAAAGTATTTAATACGGTATTTTGAATACTTTTTACGAGTATTCTGAGTACAGTATTCGGAATACTTATTTTCTTATATAGGTATACTCTAATATATTACTAATTATTACTTATTAACTATATTAATTTGAATATAATTTATAACTAATATATAGCCAGATATTTGTATATTATAGAGATTATAATAATGTTCATTTATAAACATACAATTGAAAAAAATATATTTTTGCTATTGAAATCTAAATCTACTAAAAAAAAGTATTCGATAAATGTATTTGAAATACTTTTAAAAAGTATTTTACCCAAGTCTGAGTTTTATTGGTGTGTGTAAGTGTGTGTGTTTATGCAGTAAAAAATATATCATATTTACAATATAAGTTTGCCACTGGATAGAATTAATTAATGGAAAGGGAATTGTTGAAAAGCGATAAATTACCAAATGGTCTGTTTTGAGCTTGAGAAGAAGACTTTAATGTAAAGTGTATACTGTGATTATTAGTTGATGGAACATAGTACCTACTTTCAATTCATGGTCATCTATACTCCAACCACGTTAAGAAGATACTTCGGCGTCGAAAAGTTGTCGTCGGGCGTTGGTCAGGCATCACCCAATTTTACCCCCACTGAACCATCTGTGTAGAACACAAACCGATCTTAACGTAAATGGTGTATAGTATTCTGATCCGCTAGTATAGCCAAGTTCAGATACTACAATTATCTGTGTTCTAGTTGTATAAGATAGTATATACTGATCTTAAATCCGAAGTTCCGATCTTAAAATCCAGAAGCTCCCAGTTCATCATCTTATTATGTTGTGTTTGTTTCTTAACTATCAAGTTTTGCGTATTGGGTGGTTCTGGGGCATGTCATCCCCGTTACTCAATTACCAATACATAGTTATAACTTATATTCCATTTGTAAATATCCTTATATAAATTGTTAAAAATTTGCAGCTGGGAAGAGTGAACTAATTATTCACTATGAAATAATACATAATAAATTGTGTTCTTGTAGTATTTCTTAAAAGGTAGTGTGAATACGATTATTTGTATTAAAAATCGCAGAAAGAGAAGAGATCCTTGGAAAATACAGTGGTTGTAAAAAAATTCAAATCCAAAGTATTTCATACTACGTAATGTGATTTAGACAGTTATATTATTAGGAGATTAATAATATTATACAAAATTTTAATATTATTACAAGCAACACAAGCCTTTAACATCCCTTCATGTTGTTTTATTATAATGTACTCTTAAAATAAAATGTGTTATAATAAGCCTATGTCACAGTATATTTTATATTATACAATTTGGTATATTTATACCTAAATCAAATACCGAATGAATATGGAATAATATTCTAATTAGTTATTATTGTCTGTAACTATCATTTTATTTATAGTAGGTATTGATTTTCCATAATTGTTTCTTTAAATTGTAAACCGTTTATAATTTATGTATATTTTTTACTGTGTCTAGTGAACCTATGTAAATATAAAATGTATGACAAATAAAGTAACAATGAATAGGTACTTAATTGAACTTAATTCATATTATTTCAGTTCCATTATGCACTTACGTAGTAGAATATAAGAACAATGAAGGTAATTGGGTATTAAACTATTTACAAAACATAATCTTCTTCTTCGGTTTTTAAAGGTCATTAAGGCCCATTACCGCAACACAAACTTGCTTCCATCTGTCTCTATCCTGTGCTATAATTTCTAAATCTTGTATTCCAATCTCTGCTAAATTCTTCTCCACTTTGTCAATCGACCTTTGTTTTGATCTGCCAAGTGTATTTTCCCCTGGGGTTTCTATTTTAAATCGCTTTTATAAGACTATTTGGCCTCCATACATGACCAGCCCATGCTATTCTAATATATTATAATACTGCTACTATGTCTGGCTCTTTATAGAACTGTTGTATTTCTATATTATTTATTTTTTCTTATTGTTGTGTGATATTATTTATTTTTGGAACAAATACTAAACATAATAGTGAAATAATAACAAAACATAATACTTATAACGGTGCTACTCTCATATGCGGACTACCGACATATTTCTGCTCACGTATGGGGTTTACGTCTTACCTTGTAAGACGTAGATCGAATAATACCTATATTGTAATACACCATGTTTATATTTTCATAATTATAATATATATTATGTTTATTAGTTCTAATTTGAAAAATATAATGTAATAATAATAATATGTCTACATAAAAAATCAATACAAAAAAAAATAAAAAATTTAAGATTAACTGTCAATAATGATGTGATAAAAGTCACATAGTCAAAAAATAAATATAAAAAATGATAAATAATAATTGTGGCGATAAACTTATTTAATATCCCTCAGCAATTCTATAAATATATCAGGTTCGTCTTTGCAAGCAACCTTCCAACAATAATGGTCGAGATGGGATTGAAGTAGTTTTTTAGTTGTACCTCTCATTGTTTTCATGATCCTTGTTTTTGCATCCAGCCATGATCTTTCTATGCTTTGAGTGTGAGCCCCCGTCAAAGGATCCACGTAGTTTTGCTGATAGTTGACCGTTTTATGTATATATCCACTACCATTTAAACATCTATAAGCCGCCCACTCATCAGAGTGAATAACAGAGCCAGCCTCACATTCTCGCTGTATAATTGGAAGTAATATATTTTTGTCTCTTCAAAGTACATACAAATATCGGCAGTCAGAACCATTTTTTAGACCAAATACTTTTTGTCCATGGTTTCTCGCCATTGAGTAACCGACCTCGATTATATTTTCTCTTTCCGCTAAATCTAGAATCGTCAATCTGTATAGGATCAATCTGATTTCCCACCATCTTTCGCCGTTTGTGAACAATATTTGAACATACCTCACGACACATATTAAACTAGTTAGTAACTGTCCCTTGTCCTCTTCCTGTTAAAGTGGCTGTAATTTTCAAAGAAATATCTGATACGAAACAAAAAACTAATTCTAAAATTTCGGTAAGTTTGAGATTACTATTAGACCTATTGTTCAAGTCCTCGTAATGAAAAAATTTGTTCCCCTGTCGTATACTACGCGTGGTCTGACATCCTTTTTTTTGCACTGAAGAACAGGACGAAAGTCACCTCCTCGATCTCGTTTTCTAGCATTAACCATTTCAGAACCACACTTATGACATTGTCTAATAAACCATTCTCCCTTAAAAATGCAGTGGCATTCTTTCCACTCTTTGCGGCAGTCAAATAAAAATCTTTTAATTGCATAATGCACACGATATTATACAAAACGGACACAAATATAAACATTACAACACAATCGATGACCAATACGTAACTAACAAAACTTATTAAATGTGTTATAATGTCGCACAGTAATTGTAGGTAGGTATCTTTTAATAACAATAAACAAAGTTGGAAAATACAAGATATGACATATATATCAGATCATTTTATTTTATCTTTTAGTGGATGTACATGTTTATAATGCAGTTTATCCATATTTTTTTCTACTACGATATATGCGGTCTACATTTATGATGGTAGATCACATGCATTTGTAGCTAACTCTGCTCCCTTATAACTAATATAAAATATCTATATTATAATATTTATGCTCTAAACCTATGAACCGGCACTATAGATGTTGTATTCAACCAAAATAAAAAAATTAATTTGATTAAATTATTATTTTTAGATGATCCTCGAGTACCAGATGACTTTTGCATTGCATACAGCAAAGGTCATCTCTGAGTAAGCAACATTTTAATACTATTAGATATTCAAAGATCACAAAGAATAATTGTGTATTTTGTTTTAGGATTATTAAAATCATGGTAGGTAAACAATATATTACATTATTACAAAATATTAAACGAAAAGTTGATAAATATTTAGCTTGTGTTCAACTGTATTCTATTTTAATTTAATTTTAATTACAACTTACAAGGGCTTTTTTCCAAGGTACAGTTTCTTGAAATAATCCATTATATACGATATACCTACACAATTTACCTATTACGCTCTCATAGTCGGATACAATTTTAACCCAGGTATTAGAGATTTTCCAAATCCTGTTTAATAGAGAATATTAATAAGAACTACACGATCTACCCGGTCTAAGGCTTTAGATATGTCGGCATAGATAGCATATTAAATGTGAATAGTTTTCGAGTGCATTTACAATGAAATGTTATTAAATGAGAATAAGAATGGAATTTGAAAACTATATTATAATCTTATATTTTATGTACTGATGGAATATTTATAAAAATACTCTATTTCAAATAAGTTTGGAAAAAAATCCCAAAGGCAACTCGTCATGGTTCGCACACGTGCAGTCCCGTTGGCTGCTGTCAGCGCGGCCGAATATTGCAGGCAATCAGAGCAGTCCTACAGTTCCGGTACTGCGTAGTATTTTCAAAATTATATGGAATAGAGTATAGTTTCAATGATGTCTGTGCTATTGGACTGTACATTTGCAAATTTGTATGATTAGATCGACGTATTTAAATAAAACTAATTGAAGTTGTGTATTCTTGTTGGGGCTTACAGCATCTTGTAAGTTGAAAGTTACAATATTTATTATATATATTGATGATATTAAATAGAAAATATACACATTAAAAGAATAATAAATTAAACATAATAATATATGAAAATTCAAGAATCTTAAAAAATTATAAGGAACCTTTAATTATTTTATATTTTTAGTAAATAACATTTTAATACATAGAAAAGTCACAGATCCCAAGTATTAAATTTAGTTGCGTATTTAATATTTTAGTTGATCAAAAAAAAAAATAATAATTAACAACTTGGTTTTAGTACCATACATATCATACATAATATAGTAGGTACCTAGCCTAACCTAATCTATTATACATATACAATTAGGTATTAATTATTAATCGATACTATAATATTATAATGTATTCAATCTAAAATAAAAAAAG